TCAAAATCTGTGCTCCAATTATTTTTTTTGAACGCCCTCTTGAAAGTGCTGCCCTCTATCAACAGCTTATGATAACTTCCTATGTACCTACAGAAACCTGTATTTTTTTTCAAATTGACGTATGGAAATGAAATTGAACCAATAGAAACATGACAATATCCTTGTGTCATGGCGTCATTTTCATTATTAACCTAGGTATTTTTTCATTATTTTCATTATTAACCTAGGGAGAGAAACTCAATTTTTTTTTAGAAAAATAGATTGAATAATGTCTATTTCTCAGGTTAGTAGTAAAAAAAAATCTTTATGTATGCGGTAATTGGTGCGATTTTTTCTCGCTAGAGGCAGCAGCGTCAATCAGCACTATTATGTTCTTGTAATTAATTTCGCGTATTCTTCTCGCTAGATAGCAGCGTCAACCAGGTTCTCACGAGCATAATTTATTCCTAATTTGCACTAGTTTGTTCGTAAGTCAGTGAGTAAGACTGAAAACGGGTGTTCCGGTTAATCTGTTTCGAATGTTTGACAGTTTAAGTATTCAAGAACTATCCAATGTTGATCCAATCGGTTCATACTCTGTCGTCGGGAGAAGTTCGGATAATTTTCGAACTATTAATTTTTTTTCTGACGTTGAGGTTGGATGTATTCACAAATTTCTATATTTATTTTCCTTGTGCCTGTGTTTTAAGTAGGTAGTTCTTTTATTGTTATTATTTAGAGAAGCAAGTGCTCGTAACACCAGGGCCGTGGCGCCATCCATTAGCTGTGAGTTGTAGCCAGTGGCGTAGCCAGGATTTTGTCTTGGGGGGGGCAAATTTGCAGGAAGCGTCTTTTGCGGCCCTACCGCGACCGCTGCCGGAGGCTTAGCGCCGCAGGCGCGAAATTTTTGGGTGCCACGCCCCTTTTTCAGGTTTCTTTACGCTATTTTTGGGACTGTTTATCTTGCAGTCGCTTGAAGATAAAATGTTGCATGCCATTCGGCCCAGAAAGTCTTTTTGTGTTTTGTCGAGCTCAGCACAAAAACACCCACTTCTTGGCCTAGTGATATAAATAATTAGTATTTAACAAGGCATTTGGATATAAAGTTTTCCATAAAATTTGTTTATTGTTTTTTTAAATTTTATTTATCTCTTTTTTTGATGATGGATGAACTAGCTGTTCAATTCTGTTTTTTAATGTAAGGATTAGATAAAAATTTTGTCTGTAGCTGTAATACACATATCATGCAACTCCTCACTATGTATCTTGCTTGTTGGTTAACAAAAAATGCAAACTGATAGTGTTTATAGTATCTACGAGAGATAAAAAACGCATTTCTTCTACTTCAATAAATGTTCTGAAATTTTTTATTTCATTAATGCTATACGGTTATTGCCTGATATGCATAAAACAGAAGCAAATGCTTTTACTTATGTTTTTTGAGGTAAACATATTCAGCTTTAATGCAGCAAGAAGAGACAGAGATAGAGTAGAAGCATTTGCTACACTTTATACATAGGTACGACTGATTGTTTGGTGGGTGGATTGAAAATAGTATGTTGGAACGACACTATTCAACCTTAGACGAAATGATAAATCGATGAATCCAGGTTTGGATTTTATCCAGATTCTCGTCGGGTGAGAGTGTGGAGACGATCTGGATGAATTTTCTTTTTAATATCACAATTATTTTTGTTGTTTAATTAGGAGTATCAATTGATGAAACTAGGTCTCAGTGATAATGTAGGTTTATGAATGTTCGTTAAACCATAAAATTTTAGACATGCATGGTTTCAATAAAATTGCTTCTCTTCTTCTTCATTACATCATATTAAATCTTTTAATTGATTATCAAAACAGTAGGTTTTCGGATTTTTTTGTATTTTTGGTATGAATTTGGTTATTTAGAATATTATTAGCTAAATCCACAGAAGAGTTTTATTTTAAATCCATAACCATAATTACAGTAACATTACCGTTATTGGATTTAGTAAGAATAAGTTCAGGGTGATTTGGTGATTGACTTTTTCACCATTATTGATTTCGATGTTTGTAGGTCGTCTGCAACCATATGGTAGATATAGACTAAAATGAGCGCCCTGATGATACATCAGGAGTCAGCCTGAACTAGTAGCTAATTATCTTCTGAATTTGGTTTTTCATTTCAAAACGGTTTTCGAGAAACCTTTTTCCTAAACAACTGTAATGTCCATTTAAAACAACAAATGACATTTATGTCAGAAACTATAAAAGATAAGTTGACAAAACTTGTAAGGCCAATCGAACTATTGCAAGTTTCTTTTTGAAATACTTAAGTTGTTTCTTACATTTGGTACACCCTGTATAGTTGAAGATCTGAAAATATTTTAGGTGCCGCCGGAACGCTTGATTATGGATGCAAACCAAATTTGAAGTTTCTTATCCCCCTACGAGCTCAAAAACTTCTAATGCACCAGGCTGCCTATTCATTTTCTGCCAACGTAAGAGGACCTTCGGCTGCATTCGTGTTCGTTCGAGCACAGCGTAGGCAAATTATGATTGAAGTGGACTAACGTTGGCAGTTTATAGAGCCTGCCTGGCGTCCGTGAAAATATTCTCTAAATAAATTCAGTTGGAAATTGGCAGTTATTGTTAGTTGTTGGCACATATTTCAATGCGAAATGCGATAACGAATGAAGAAATACAGTTATTAAAGAGTTTAAATTAATCATTGTATCTATTCAAAGGCTCCAGAACTTTTTTGGTAGATTTGAGTTAGTTTCGGTTAGTTTTCGATAATATGGGTTAATTTTGGTTAGTTTGGGTTCGTTCGGGTTAGTTTTCGTTTAAAAACCGCACTAGGCGCTGTTCCTTCCTGTTTCCTTTCTTCAAGCAAAGACATAAAAAGTACCTAATCCAAATTAACCCAAACTGACCCGTCCTGGAAATGCGTCACTGAAGTTGGCTTCTCTGACGTTGTGCGACGGAAACACAGTTCAGTCGAGAGTTCAGCTGAAAATTTATTTTATTCTTTTATTTTACAAAAAAAATAAATATGTAGAAACAAAAGAGAAAAAAGATCTTTTTTATTTTGAACTTTTCATATTTTCGACATTTTGCATTTTCGACATTTCTCAATTTCTACCTTTGTGTTTTATTGTTTCATTTTTTTTATAGCTCACACATTATAAAATAGTTAGTATAAAAGTTCCATCGGCGGTAGTTCCAAAGACATCGGTAGTTTTATCTAACACAATATCATGCCATTGTTTTAGCTGAAATTTTCATATAAATAAAATTCTTATCTTTTATCTTCCCTTCCTTTGAATAAAAATCATTTATCGGACCTAATTATCAATAAAATGCTTGTAACATACAGTCACATGAAGTGCCAACGTCTGGTTGCGATGCTCATATTCTGCTAATGCTTCACGGCCACAGGGCACGAATCTAGCCGAATATCAGTTGCGTTGGCAAAAAATGAATATGCCACCGGGCTACGTAAATCACCCTGTATAGTTGGTCTTGGTAATTCAATAATAACTACGTTTATTTCAGGCGTTGTATCTAGATACTAAGTGGATTAAGGATTATTAATCCATATTCGTTAATTTCACAACTGAATGGATTGAGATAAGTGCTAATAATTTTTTGAGCCTTGTTAAAAGCGCAAGCGAAAATTGCTTTGTGTCTAACTTCATAAAAGGCAACAATGATGAAAAATAGTTTCAATTAACAATTAAAAAGTAAACATTTTCTTGTGATTTTTTCTTGAAGTTAGCAACCAACTTCTCAAATCCGAGATAAGGTATTTATTTCACATATGAGATAATCCATTTTAAGTCCAATCCAACAAATTTGGAGAATTTGGATTAAGAACTCCGATCCGGATCATCTCTCTATTCCTGGGTGTTTATTTCAGGATTATTAATCCCCATTATTAATCCAATCCACTTAGTATCCGACAACGCATGAAATAAACGTAGTCATCCAGTAAATAAATCTAATCGAGCTGATTTAGGGCGGGTAGATATTGTAAAACTATTTTGACAAATAGTAACTAAAAGTTAACTTCTGGAATGATGTCACTCCAAAAGTTAGCTTTCAGTTACTATTAATTTGTTAAAATAGTTCTATAATACCCGCCCTTAGCCAATCAGTTGCTGCATGCAATTCCCACGCATATTTTAATTTTTGAAGGATTAATGGAATATGAATAATAAGAGAAAAGCACTACTAAAAAAATTCATTCGAATTTACAATTTCGACATGCTATGCGTTGTTTTTCTGCTGAACACGTAGGGGTAACAAATGAAAAGCGTAGGCCTGTTTTGGATTTAAAAGATAGAAAGAGAAGAGGCGGAATGGGAAAACGAGAACATTCTGTCTGTTCGTATTGAGCGACTAGCTGTTGCATTTTCATTCACAAAACTTTGGTAGGTTACGTAACCTGTGCCTATCAATTATATACCTCCCTATTTTGAGGCATACCTACATATATTAATTTCATGTAAATTCCTGGGTTAAGTGCAAATGCTAATGGTAGTTAGGAATACGTACCTACCTGCCTACCTGCCTACCTGCCTACATTTCAATTCAGAATTTTATATAGGTAATAATACAATCTTGTTTAACTTTTAATATCAGGAAAGAAACATATTTTTTGAAAATAAAAAGGCCGTTTATTTTTCGTTCACTTTTGAACGTTTAACGTTCAATAAGGTAGCAATAAAAAAGTTGCGATTGTTTGGATTGAAGTCGTAGTAGGTAAGTAATAAATTTGATGAAAAAGCGCCTCTAGGAATGTATTGTTCACTGGAAAGTAAGATACTAAAAATGAAAATTAAACGAGTCCGTGGACAATACGCCCAACAGTTTTTGGAGGTGGTTGTTTTTAAGGGAGTCACATCTTGGAGGGAAAAAGTGCGGCCCTACAAGAGCAGACTCCGCAGCGCAAAACCGGCGGATGGCTCCTGCCTCCTGCCTAGCCCATTCGCCAATTCCGTTCCTACTTTCTGCGAATTAGTCTTGCGCCAAATACGAGCAGAGCAGTGTCACAAAACATAATTCCTGTGTATGTATTGGTGCTCCCATTCATACGTTTTCAAGCTAAATAGAGAATGACACGGTTCTCTAGTTGCTCTATTTGTACTCTGCTCTAGCCACGTTCGGAGGGCAGAAAACTTCGAAAGTTTCACGAATTCTTTCAAAGTTTAGAAATAAGATTAATTTGATTTTTAAAGTTTTTTTTTCCACTCATCTAGTATGAGAATTTGATCGCACATTTTTAGTAATTTCGCACCTAACTGCTATTTGCATCGCACACTGCACTTTCACCGTATAGAAAGAAACTTAATATGGTAAGTTTAAGGCGCTTTTTTTTCTAGTATGGCTGATTGTTACCTTTATTTTTTTTCGGATAAACAATCCTTCCCTTAATGAACGACTCAGCTTGAATTACCTTTTTGATTTTTGTTGCATGATCAAATTTTGTATATCGAAGTACTTATTTGTACAATTATTTATCTGCAAATTATTTTGTGTTTTGGTTTGTGCGGCTTCTTTTGAAGTCGTTTTAATAATTGATTGAGCACTTATACGTTATAATATATATAATACTTATCAACCTAGAATATATAATTTTTTTTTTTTATATCATAGTTCCTAGTTTATCTATCTTGTAATAGTTATTGTTCGAATATTTCAACTAGAACTAAAACTAAATAATAATGATAATAATAATATATAGGGTGGAAAGTTGAGCTTGAATATATTGTGTTTAAGTGTTTAGGTACAACGAATATTTTTTTTTTTTTAGTTGAAAAACACTCAAACTTTGATTTTTAATGTTGCACATTTGTGACCTTACTGAAGGACTGGAACTACCGCCAAAATCTTTTCATAAATGGAAGGGTATAACCTCGTTGGGTACTTTAATTTATCGTTTGTGTGAGATAAGCTTCTGTTTCGAGGTGGCTGTATAAGAAAAAAACGGAAGGATTTAGACCAGGAGCTGATCATTTAATAAGCACCCGGCCTTCCGATTCACACCTATTGGGAAAAACTTGGTTAGGGTTATTGCGGCGGTTTTCGACATAATGAGATGGTACACATCTTGCTGAAATCATGCACTTACCTATAATGTTCTTGTTGTTTGGTCATCATCATATTTTCGCAAATAATAACTGGCTCATTAAGGTTTTGGTTGAAAAATATTGTCCCTATAATTCGGTCACCAGTTATATAATTGTGTGAGATATTTTTATTCAGAGACACTTGTCTGCGAAGTTACCGAATTTCTTCGTAAATCATTGAAACATTTAGTTTTGTACCATCATCCGACCTAGGTGGCCTTTTTTCAACTTTAAAAAATGAGTTTGAGTAGATTTGAAGTAAAAACTTCGAAAGCAAACAAATACAACGAACATCTCGAGAATTTTGCCGACCCTGGCATTGCAGGTAAATCTGGACGTCTGCAACTCTTATTGGTGATAAAATTTTCTTTCATAGCCCTAATAAAATGCTTTTCCATGGGTACCAATTGGATGCAAACATGAGTAGAGACTGGTACTAAAAAAATATATATAAATTTTATACCTTCTCCGATTATGAAATGGTTTCGAATGTTTTGCGAACATTATTGAAACTTATGACGTAAAATTTGCAATTTCATATATCTCTGAAAATGGCCTGATAATTAATTTTCTTTAAATACCTATATGGGGATCCAGTCCAAAAACAGCAATTTTGTTTATTTAGGTAGGTACCTACATGTCCATAATGCTTTCATTCATTCGTTCATTCCTAAAACAAATATTGTCCAAAAGTTGGACGCCTCCAAAAATACCTAACAGCCGTATGCAACGTCCTCTTTTAAGTTCAAAGAGGATGTTACATAGAGCTGTAAGTTTTTCTAAAAAGCTGTACCTATCTAACTTTTGCAATATTATTCCTTTTGTGGATCTGAAACCAGCGTTGGAGACTATTGAGGAGCCCAAACTTCATAGGTACTCTTTTGACGCGGAATCCAGTTTGGCCCATGCATTCTTCCATGCAGGATGCTGAATTTGTCACCATGCAAAATTTGAGAATATTATCGAAGAGTCTGGAATATGTAAAATAAATATTTATGTGTGAGGTTTACACTTTTTTTCGATACCTTATTGCGTTGCTATATGAAAATATAGCGATTTGATCTAATTTGTTTTTTTCTCGTAATTTTGTTTGTTTAATAAATGAATTTTTTAATCAACGTCGTTTATTATGAGTTGAAGCTCTAACGAGTCAATTCACTTTGATTGTTTTTGTTGATTACAATTAACGAACAATGGCAACAATAGACAAAAGCGTTTGGTTATGGAAAATCAAATGTGAACTCTTTTTCCAAGCCACTATTCAGGAAAGATTCATTTTGGCTTGCTCGTGCTCATCCTCACTATGTTTATTGCCGAACTATCTTTTTGAACAACCCAGATAAATTTAAAAGAAAACCTCACTCCTCGAAACTTGAACTCCTAGATAGATGCCAAAATTTGATTTTGGACCTAATTGTTATTAGACTATTGTTTTTTCCTTACTCCTAATTGAATCCACTTTGAGGAGAAAAACAAATTGACAAAAAAAACGCTATATTTTTATAGCGAAAAAATAGCAGACGTGGCAGACCAAGAACTGGAGTAGACGAGGAAACGAGTGGCAGAGGATCGGAGGAGGATGTCTGGATTGACAGAGATGGTTAGACATTCGGAATGGAAAGACGTAGACGTTATAGACCAATAATTATATATACCTATATATTTTACGGGGATGTGAAATAAGGTATTATGAGTAGCGGAGCCATATAGGATTATTTTGATGAGGATGCCAGGGCCCGTATTCTCGTAGCCAGGGAACAACTTTCTCAAGAGAACGATTGCTCTGTCTTAGTCGCCCATATTGTTATTTCCATAATACTGACAAAGACAGAGCAATCGTCTCTTGAGAACGCTGTTCCCCAGTTACGAAAATACGGGCCCAGGTGAGAGGGTAGTTAAGCTTTAAGTGGGTACTTAGTTATTACCCCTCGATATCGACGAATCAGCTTTACCAGTTTTTTGGAAATATTTTTTGGTTCCTGAATATTAGCCATTAGCCCATGACGGTATGTACCTAAATAGAAACCTAAATAATATTCTATATTATTCAATTAACCTACCCATCTACATTTCTGTATATTATATTGTTATTCTTCGACATCCCGACTTTCTAAATGTCGGTGATAGATATTACTCGTCAATGCAAAATTATTTAATCTTATGTTACGATTTATTTGCTCTAGGCCCTTACGGAAACGCTGATCCGATTAAACCGATCGCCAGCTGTTTGTTTTTCATCTTTCTTAATTGAACGCGGTTGAAAAAAGGCAAATTATATCAGCTGGTGATCGAATTATCCGGATCAGCGTTTCCGTAAATACCTTTTGTCTATGTGAAAGTCACGCACCATCGAGTTTGAAATCAAACGGGCGCAATTTGGTTCCTGAAACATTTCATGATTTCATTTTATTTTGTTTTTGCGCCAATTTTAAAGCCTTTGAACAATTTTCATTACGACACACGAATCATTTTATCAAGTACCTAGTCCAGGGAATGGGTATTTTTTGCGATAAAAAAAATAGTATAGCTTTTAAATTCTGACAGTTTGTTCAGTTGGACATAGTGAGTCGGAATCTCATTCTGCAGCAGTTTAGGGGGTGGGCTCGCTGAATGGGGGAGGATTTTTAAAAAAAATTGCAGTTGTGGTAGAACGCTGCTAATACGGCTTAACGAAATTGATTTTTTTCTTGATAAAATTCTTTAGGGTATGGTGATTAAAAAGAGTGCGACAGCCTTATTCTATCTTTTATAGTTAATGCCCTAGAGCGCGTCAAAGTAAGGGGTGTGACCTTGAAATTGGCCTCGCCGCCCCATTTTACGTTTCGTGCGTCAAAGAAAGAACGGATTATCCAATCTCAATTATTCAAAAAATATCTAAATCTTGAATTAATTTACCATAAGTACTTTTTTTAAGCGGTCCGATCACTTTAAAATTAACAATTTTACAAATTATTAAATTTCAAATTTTTTGTAAAATTCAGCAAAGTTCTTTGAAGAATTACTGACAGAACAACGGGCAGAGTTTAAAAAGAAAAAGAAAACTAACACAAAACATAGAAACTGCAGGATCACAAATGAGAGAAATGAAAGAAAGAGCTCCACGCCCAGAAGAAGTATATCGAGAACTGATAAAGTATGGGACAAATAATAAACTCTACCAACATTTAACAAAACTATCCGAAATATGCATAACAACGATATATAAAAAAACAGACAGAAACAAATGCGAGAATCACCGAGAAATTGCAGTGACAAATACATTGAGCACAGTTTATGGAAAAGTTATAAAATTTAAAATAGAGAACGAGTACTAAGATAGTGAAGCAGAAAAACAGGCCGGTCTCAGAGTAGGAAGAACCCTGGTGATAGAAAAGAAACAAGCGTATAACCAAGAACTTCATTTACTCTTCGTAGATCTAAAGTGGAGAAAGAATATGACAATATCCCACTGAAAGAGCTATGGGAAGCACTAGAAAAGACCAATATCGTCTTAAAACTGATGAAGGCAGTTAAAACGCTCTATAGTTATGCAAAAACCAAGATTAAACAGGGAAACATAATCAGCAAAGGCTTTACAGCAACTAAAGGACTTAAATAGGGTTGCTGCATATCACTAACTTTTTTTAAATATAATTAGCACGAGCGCTTAAGGGGCGGAAAAACTAATGCAGACAAATGGGAATACCGCTTAATGAATACAACCCATAAACTCTAAGCTTTGTCGATGAACAAGTATTAATTGCAGAAGACTGACCTAGAATACATGACACTTACATTGATAGAGGAATACGAGAAATGGGGTTTGGAAGTAAATCTAACTAAAACAGAATACCTATATGACTATAGGAGGTGATTAACGAACACTGAAACTGAATAACGGACAAGAAATAAAACAATGTACTGAATACAAATATTTGGGAATGAAAATCTCGCAAGAGGGAACCCTAGACGAAGCACTTAAAGATCGGAAGCATAGATGTGATGAGTACAAATAGTAAGTCGTACCAAGTCCTCCATAAAGCAGAAACAGTGGAAATCACCTGTGTAGGCGAACTGAATTCCACAATTTCACAAAGTGAATCTTCTTGACAGTGTGCCTAATCTAATCAGAATATTTTCCAAATGGAAAAGTCACAGCGTAAGTGTACCTACAATCCACTGCCATTACCTCATCATACTATGAGGTTGCATCATTCCTAAACACTGTTAGAGTTTACAATACTTGT